GGGGGGGAGAGCAGCCTGTATCCCCAGCAGCTGCAGGACTGGATTAGTGCCCTTCCACCTCCTCCCCCTAGCCTGGGGCAGTCCCCCCAATACTAACCTCCCCCCAGGTTCGTTACATGAAGATCATTGAGAAGAGTGGGTACCAGGCTCTGCCCTGGGTGCGCTACATCACCCAGAGTGGGGGTGAGTCATGGGGTCCCTAGGCCTCTACCCCCCCCAACCGTAGTAGGGGGTTCTTGGCATGTGTGGGGGGCATGTGGGGACTTTCAGCACATCCCCCCAGCCTTAGTGGGGGGCATGTATCTATGTATGGGGCACTCCTAAGGTGTGGGGGGCACCTGTGTATGTGATGTTCTCTATGGGAGAGGTCTCTCAGGGTGGGAGTCCCTCTTACTCCCCTGCTCCACTCCCACCTCCCAGACTACCAGCTCCGGACCAGCTGAACGCCACCGCCCAGTGGTGGAGGACCCTGCTGCCTCCAAGGCCTGAGTCTAGCACTCCCCTCTCCGCCCAGCTGCCCCCATGGGAGAGCCCCCCCCATATGTTGCCCTGCCTTGTCTGCTGGTTTATAAACAGAATGTGACTGTTTCCCTGTGTTCTGTGGGTCTTTTGGGTGGGGTGGGGGCTGGGTTTGCCCCCCCCCCAAGTCTTGCATCTCAGGCTAAGTCCTGCTCCAGGGGTGGGGGGGTTGAATGGCCCCAGTGGCTACCAGGCCTGGGATAGAGTGGGGGTGTCCCCCAGCAGTGAAGAGCTGCCTCCCCCCTCTACCTCTGGGGCCTTGGCTTGGCAGCTGCAGCTTGGGGGTCTCCATCTTAGTTCCCCCCATGCCCCGCTCTTCAAGGCTACTGTGGGGGGTGGAGCCAGGGCTGGGGCTCATCTAGGTAGGGGGAGAGGGCAGTGCATGCCTGTTCCTGCACTTGTGGGCGGGTGCTCCTTTTGCCCATGCCCCATGTAGTCAGGCACCATTGCTGCTAGAGGGAATGTGAGGCAGCCCCCTAAACTGGAGCAAAGTGTGTGCCTGCAGCTAGAGCGAAGCTGTGGGGGTGAGGCTCCATGGAGGGAGGTTATGAGGTTGGGGTCTTCTGGTTTGGGGGGGGGCAGGGTCGCTATTGGCAGGGGCATTCTCCTCCAGCCTGTTGCAGTCTGTCCCTAGGGGCAGAAGCTAGCATCTGCCTCCCTTTGGTGGGGGGGAGAATCATGGCCTTTGTTGCTCCTCCCTGTGTGAATGGGTGGGGGGGGCAGATATTGGAGCCTCTGAACTGGCAGGGTGTCCCACTGTCACAGTTTATGGAGGTCATTGGAATAGGGGAGGATTCGTAACCCATAAAGTGTGGGTGGGGCAGGGTCTCAGCCCTGGGAGTCAGTGAAGTGGGGAGGAGTCCTGCCCCAGGGGGCTGGGGTGTACCCCTATGGGAGGGGGTTGAGGGTGTCAGCGGGGTGGAGGGGCTGCCAGGGGCCAGAGGACCAGGGTTGGAGTGGGGTGGGGCACTACATGGAGCAAGGGGACCCCAGACCTAGGGGCGGCAAAGTGTGGGTGGGGCAGGGTCTCAGCCCTGGGAGTCAGTGAAGTGGGGAGGAGTCCTGCCCCAGGGGGCTGGGGTGTACCCCTATGGGAGGGGGTTGAGGGTGTCAGCGGGGTGGAGGGGCTGCCAGGGGCCAGAGGACCAGGGTTGGAGTGGGGTGGGGCACTACATGGAGCAAGGGGACCCCAGACCTAGGGGCGGCTTGGGGGGATCCATCCCAGAGAGGCCGTGGGGCGAGTCCCGGGTG